AATTTAGTGAAATATAGACTCAGACTCGGATCCAAATCCTTATGGGTCTAACAAAGTAAATCTAGACCCGGACTTTTATGGGTTTGAGTATCCAATGAGTATCTATGGATAGTTTTCTAAATATACAATGAAGAACTAAAGTAAGACTATTTTAAAAATATATAAAGTTCAAAAATAACATAAATACCATTGACCTTTTGTTTCCAAATAATAAAATTAACATTTAAGAAATTGAATCCAATATTATGAAATTAAAGAAAGAAGTATTATCAACTACTTCTATTTATTTTCAAAGTTTCATTTGCATCCACATCTAGTATTTCATTTAAATACCTTTACTTGTTCTCATTTTTCTGAAAAATGTTTGTATCAATTATAATGCCAATTAGGATTAGCTTGAAAAAAAATAAAACAACCGTAACATATATAAATATTTAGCCTTATTCAAAAAATATATTTTTGTATCTCTTTTCCCTAAACTTCAACATGAATCTGGGTAGAGCCTAATTTGTATTTAAATTTAGGTATGAATCATAGAAAATCAAACCTTACCTAAACTCATGACTCTCTTATAGGGTTTGGATTTGGGTAGAGTCTAAATTTGAGAAATTATATCTAAACATTATCCAAAAATATTGTCTCTGGATTGAATTTGGGTAAGACCTGACCCACCCATTGACATACTTTCACAAGCTACTATGGGTAATAAAATCTTTCCACGAATTTAACTTTACATGATAAAGTAACTTCCTAAATTTTTGCGAAAATTTGATTAGTCCTTTAAACCTTGTCAAAAAAATACCAAATTCGCTCAACAAATTCGTTTGTGATTTAACAAGCATTCAATCATGTAAAAAGAGACTGTTGATCTCACCAATCCTTAAGCCAAAAAATAGTACTAGTAATAATTGCTTGCTTGCCCGTATGGAAGATTGATGACATGTTGCTTTTAGGGAAAGGATCAAACTTCGAAGTTTCAATGAAAGTCACAGCAACAATTAGAAATACCAAAACTAGGATTATGACTTAACCACTAACAGCCATGCATAATTAACATTATTTGCATCATTTGGGAATGATTGAGTATTTATTATTTCTGTCTCACGCTTTATAGATACATCAGAAAGTATAGCCATCAGGATGGGATATATAGGACAACCAAAATATTATTATGTATAATCATACGTACAAAGTTAGGTTAAGCCTTAGTCTACTCTTCCTTAGAGAGAATGTTCTACACATAAAAAATATCCTAAGAAACTAAGAAATTAGTCTATGAATAATAGGATGTGACATGTTCATTCGCCTTAATGCCTTTGAGAAGGACAGGTTCTTTGTTTATTGATTCTGGCCAAGAACTTGGCTGCTGCCAAGAAACACTACGGTCCCATGCACAAGAAAGCAGCGGCTTTGCAAAAACCAGTTTCGCTGCTTTCGGATTAGGTTTTGAAACGAGGCTTCCAATGCTATTACGGCCAAAGCAAAATTTTAGGAGATGAAGGAAATTATAATGTTTCTTTTTTGAAGCAAGTGTAGCAGGATAGAAGGGGAGTCATCTATAACTGTCAGGGAAAAAATTGGATCTTGGAACTATTGTGGTTCTCCATTCTTCTTCATCATTATGGTTTTCGCTCTAGTCTGATTCTCCAACTTGCTATCTTCACTGCAAGTTTTCAAAACTTTAACTAGCGTTCGTGACATGCATGACGTGTACTCAATTACATACAGAGTATCTTTCTAGTTCATGAAATATTCCCTTCAAATCAAAGATCCCACAATTATTTAGTTAATATTTTTACTAGCTGAGTACCATGCATAAACGCCTATAGTCAAATGCTACAAGCAACTAAAACAACATTTTATTGTTCATACGTGAGCTGAACTATTTATTAAAAGACTAAAATGTCTCACATTGATATTTTAATAATTTTCAATCATATTAACAAAAATTTTGAGTTACTCCGGTCATTGCCAAGTAATTTGAAAAATGAAATTGAAATTCTTCGTCATGGTATCAGAGATAGACATTTGATATTCTAAGAATTTTCAACAACGTTAATAACATCTTGGGGTTACTCCACTCATCGTTAATTAGTTTTGAAGCGAAAGTTTAAGTTCTTTATCATAAGCTCAAATCAATAGATCACGAGCTTTGAAATTACCATCAATACAGAATGCCCTGTGACATATTTTTAGGCAAATGCATACCCTCATTGGATTCAGGATTCACGGAGTGAATATTTATGGTTTTAACTTTTGTGCAATGCTAAAACTGTAAAGTCCCCATGCTTACGAAGGGAACAGACTTTTAGTTTCATTTCATTGTATCTAATTTTTATAAATGTATGCAATGGGACGTCCTTGTTATTGTCTCCATCTTTTCTCCCATTCACACCCTGATCAAAATCTTTTTATCTTTTTGTGTCTGCCCCTGAGAGCCGTCAATTTGTGCTAAAAGTCTAAAGAGAACATATAATTGAATAATTCCCTCCAGGTTCGTGCACATTGAACATATAACACTCAAATCAGCCCAATCATTTCACCAACTTGGTTATATTAAAACTGTCTTTTCTTTTCTTTTTTTGGTCAAAAACTGTCTTTACATGCGAGTAAAAAACCGAATTTGACAGCACAATTGTCAACTTTCAGCCAGCACACAGGGCCTCACGAAACTAAATATCTTATGCCACTATTTCTTTTTCTTTTTCTTTTTTTTTTTTCATTTTTACTTTGTTTGGGGAACCATTGTTTTACTATTGGGCCAACGGGCCACCCAACGAGCATTGCTTGCAGATAGGAATGCGTCCTATAGTCATGCTAAATGATGGACGGGAAAAGATCGGCCCAATTAATGACGGGCTGTTCTCCTGCTATACCAGTCGAATGGGCGCCTCGCGCACGGCGTGGCATCAAAGCCTTTCCAAACATTCTGATCTCATCTCTATCTTCATTTCCGTAAACTGGTGTAGCAGACCATATAAAATATCCTCCTGGCCTAAGAATCCTATTATTTTTTTTTTTTTTTCGACACAGGGTGTTCGGGTCAATTCTTACGGGGCCCGACTAATCCCCTGCGGTCCGAGCCCGGCGCCCCAACCCGACCCGAACACGATAAATGCGCGGAGGAATCCAGCAGAGCGGAGACTCGAACTTGGGACCTCAAGGGTCACCGGTAAGAGGCGCTACCGCTGGACCATTCACGCGGGGGCCTAAGAATCCTATTTAGCTCCATCAAAAGTTTTCCACCTGTCACTCAATCACATGATTACTTGATCTTAGCCAAAATAATATAGATCAAGGTATTAAAACTTTATAAAACATTTTCCTACCATTTGCATCGCTGTGAAACCTAAATCTTGCACAGTGAATCACATCATAAGCATTATCTGGAAATGTCAACCTCTCTGGGTCCAATGACAAAATGAGCAGGAATCCCCCTTTCAAGTGCAAATTGTATCTGAGTTTCGTGTTCATCCTTTGGGGCAAATGACATAGTAATAACATCTTTCTCCAACGATTGGTGCAATTCTGCCCCACTTTTATGAACATTGAATTGCTGGTTAATGGTAAATTACAGTTGGGCTTTTCTCTAATAGTAGGTATTCAATCACCAATTTCCTTTGGATAAACTTCAATCCGCCGCTAGAAGTTTGCTATTAGGTTTTGTTTTGGGTTGAGATGAATAACAGGTAATTGGGGGGGGGGGGGTTAGATTTTGTAATTATTAGTGAATGCTTAACTAAGTTTTGCGCCGTTAGTCCCTTACATTTCTGGTCAATAGTGAGGTGGTTTGCCAATTTTACCCTTTAAAAATTGGGCGTGTGATGTAAGCGCGATTTGTTCCGGCCAAATTTTGCTCGAAAAAATGAAATTGGACCAAATGTAATCATTTTTATATTGTTAGGGATTAAAATTAATCTTTTTTTTTTTGAAGGACTAAATTTTCACATCAACAACAAGTGAGGGAAATTAGTACAATTCTCCCAAATAGTTAAGATTGTTGGGCATACATCCATGTATAATTGTTGGAAAAAAATTATTTAAATGGAGAGGTAACGCAAGTGTGATGGTTGCCAGAAGAATTTTGTGCAGCATATACATCAAATTATTTAAAAATTTGAGAGGAAGATTGGGTCACTAGAAATGCCTACCTTTCATTTTCATGGGCATTTATCAACCCATAAAACCAAAGTCTTGTTCACGATAGGGCATCTATCAAAAGAAAAAAAAAGTTGTCTTGTTCATAGTATCGTTATCTGTACTGCAAAGATTTGGATGATTTTATGTTTTGCTTCTTATTGAGACATACAACTGGATGTGAAAGGAAAGCTCGGTAAAATACATTATCTCCTCTTGGCTTTTAGTCATAATCCTTTAGGGAAAAAACTGTGCTCCAATTGAATTTGGAGAGGCCAGATAAACATAAAAATTGGCGAATTATTTAATGCAGATTGCAGCATAATTGGTGTTTCTTCGAGAATTCGAGAGAAACCTGTGTCAAATTAATCAATTAATAATTATTGAATTTTCAGGAAACAAAAAAGAACTAAAATATGATGTTTATGAAGTGACTAAAAAATATGACAAGGCCAAGGTGAATCAATGCAGAGTGAATTTGAGGAAACATTTGTTATATTGTTCTTGAATTTTATTACTTATGTTCATGTTATTTTTTTTATTCTGTGTCTTAAAGAGCATAATGACAAGGCCAAGGTTAACTCATAAAAGAATTATGATATTGTTATCCACCAACATGATACTTTAGCATTGAAAATTCAATTTAATCAACAAAAGTCACAAGGGAGTAAGATGGAAGAATTCTTACTTGTGCACTTTTTTTTCCATCCGGTGCCTTTTGAAGAATCCTGCTTATATTGATATTTCACTAGTTCATCTATTCTTAGCAAGATCATAATGCAAAATTCCAGCAAGCGAAAAAAAAATTAGAAAAAAAAAAGAGAAAACGGTGGGTGCAGGGCAGGAGCACATTTTTATTTGCAAGTTGGCGAAGTCATTCTCAATTGAAAAATAGTAGAATCTATCACTCTTTAGTCTTTAGAGCTCGAGCACAAAGCAGAGTGGAAGCCATGCAGTGATATTTGAAGTTGCTGAATGAGGAATACAAGCTACACAGATGTATCCCTTTTGGCTTTTCCCAACTCTGTTATACCAGTACTCGCCAGCTATAGTAAACCCACAGAAAAAGGTCAAAAATTGTTAGCAGAAAAAATTGCTTGCTTTCTGAACAATTTTTTTGCTACTTAGTAACCTCTTGTTTCTAAGCCAATCAAGAATCAAGAGATTTCGAAACAAAAGCCAAATCTTCAAGCAAAGTTACCACCTTTTTTATTCTCCCTTTTCGCCTGTTCTCTATCCCTTTGCCTCGTTACATATTCACACTTCTCTTCCAGTTCTATTTCTACATTTCTTTCTCTGACTGGAGAATGTAAATGTGTTCTTTTCTTGTCCCGTCTGATCAAAGGATTGTTCGGAAAGTTCTTAATAATGCAATTAAATATTGAAAACCCAAGTTAGATCCTAGTCTTTTATCATTTTATGGTTGTCTGCAAACTAAGTTATGGAATTAATTGAGTGATAAGGAAGGTATTGTTGAGATTCTCCACCTTCTTCAAAAGTAATCTTTTCTCTTTTTCTCTTTATTTGGCTTCTACACGCTTTCTGCTGAAGATGGATTCTTCGAAAATCTTCGACGATAGTGTCTGATTCTTGCCGCATTTTCATGGGACTTGCTTTCTGCAAAAGAGCCATTGCATTTCTTCTTTCTTGTTGGCTGCTTTTCTGCGTTGCATGCTCAGGTTTGCCGTGCTTTAACAATTTCGTTTTGAGAATTTTATGTAGATGAATTGTAGAAATTATACAATTTCAACAACTTAGTGGATGGTTTTCTTTTTTTTCGTTGTTAATTTTGTAATAATTTTGTAAATCAAGTGGAGGGACTGCATGAAGATTCAAAAGTAAGAGGAGTGAACTTGGGTGGTTGGTTAGTAATAGAAGGGTGGATAAAGCCTTCTCTTTTTGACGGAATTCCCAATGGAGAAATGCTTGTAAGTTATTCTGTTTGATATTTGGTTTATTTATTACTCTCACTGTGTTTGTAGTTAGTTTCTTTATTGGAATTACTAATTTAGTATGTGTTGATTGCAATGTAGGATGGAACAGAGGTGCAATTAAAGTCCGTGATGTTGCAGAAGTATGTCTCAGCTGATAATGGAGGTGGGATGAATGTTACAGTTGATAGAGATACTCCTTTATCATGGGAAACTTTCAGGGTGAGAGGACTAATTTAGTTTTTTGAAGCTTGATTTCCTGTCTTCTTGAAATTATCCCCCTCAATAAGCTGATTGATTTCATTGTAACCAAGTTTGAGAGTTTATGAAGTTTCCCAGTTGGTATTTTAGTAATTTGATAAATCCCATTTGCATTATTGCTTTAAAGGTTTTTCCCTGTCTGAATTGTGTTTTCTTTAGCAGCAGGAATACATTTTTCATAGTTAGGTTGATCACATTTATAGTCATGCTCAGGAAATTTTACTTTTCTGCGTCTCCTTCCATATCCATTTGCAAACGTCTTTCCTCTGAGATCATGAGGCAGTGAATTATTTTATACCAGTTACTAAACAAAGTGGCTTTTTCTTACTCGTCCAGTACGAAACTTGCAGTAGTGATGCTTCTGCTTAATGTGCAGTTTTTATGTACCCCAAACAATAAAGTTCTGATATGCCATAAAAATCTGGATTTGCAAATTTCTGATTATTTGACAAGATGATTTCTTTCTGAGCAGTTATGGAGAGTCTCTGAATCAATCTTTCAGTTTCGTACTTCTCAAGGCCAATTTCTGACTTGCAATGGCAGTGGAAGTGTGGTGACTGCCAGTGCAGAATCAGCTTCTGCTACAGAAACCTTTTACCTTGAGAGAAACAAGGAGAATAGGATTCACATTAAACTTAAAAGTGGAACTTATCTCCAGGTTCTTTTTTTTTTTTTCTTAAACTTCTCTATCCAAAATCGGCCATTTGGTTGTCAAATGTTTTTAATTACTGATTTAGACGGATTAATATTTCCAATGCAAAGCTTGTTTTCCATCTTGAACCATAGTACTTGACTTTCGTAATCATTCAAATTTTGTTGTTAATTGTTTAATTTTGGGCAAAAAGTAAACAAAAGAAGATTTTGTGTAGAAGTTTTGGCAATAACTACTAGAGATGATGATTCAATTATGACTATAGGAAACAATTTTGGAAATCATTAACCTGAGGAAAGTGATAAAGATGGTCAAGATAGCTATATAAGTTTGTATTTGCTCTGTTTTCCATGCTTGGAGAAAAGTATTCAAATGATTTAACACCATATAGAGCATCTTAGGATGGTACCAACATTTTGACCAAGGAGATTGGCATTTTCGAGTTCTTGCTTTATTTCTTTTTATGTTCTATACAAGTTGTTGTTTCTTTCTTTGTTCTTCAGAAATGTTACTGGTGAATCACCAATACTGACAAATAGAGTTTTCAGTCTATTTCAGTGATCAAATAGCTCTGTATTAGTGAGTGAATATAACAGGGAAAGTGTGAGAGTTTTGTGCTACATTTGTTTAGGCTTCAAACTCGAACCAGCTCACAGCAGACTATCCTGGAACACCTGGTTGGGATGATAATGCTGCCACATTCGAGATGACCATAACAGCAAATAACCTGCATGGTGATTACCAGCTTGCTAATGGATATGGGTACAATAAGGGAAAAGAGGTTCTTAAGGTAACAATCTTTTTCCTGGTTTGATAAGGAAACCATCATCAGTTAGAGATCCTATGTGTTATATAAATCTTTTTTCTGTCGCCTTTAGTTATGTTGTCTTGATTGGTGCAAGATGTCAAATTATGGGATGATCTCCATAAATGAATATTTTTGTCTTAAAGAGGTGAAACTGCATTAAATCCTTCATCTGCAGAAAATGTTTGCACATATTCTGACGTACTTCGCAATTCCCACTTCTTATGGTGAATAGCACATAAAACTGTCTTTGGTATTACAATGTCATTATTATATAGGAGGCACTTGCATGACATTCTGAAATCTAATTCAGGAATGGATGGGAACACGGTGTCCTACAACAAGTTTGTCTTCCTCTTCTTATTTGCTTTATTACTTATTTGATTGTCCATATATCCTGTATTCAAAGTGCTTCATTAAGAGCGCCAATGCTATTAATGGAACAAATATTTTCTGGTCAAAGACTTCCCCTTTTCTGATCTTACATGAAATGGTCATTCCAGAAGCACAGAAACACATTCATCACCATCGAAGATTTTGACTTTCTGTACAGAAATGGGATAAATACTGTTAGAATACCAGTTGGTTGGTGGATAGCTTTTGATCCCAATCCTCCAGCTCCTTTCATTGATGGCAGCTTGGAAGCTCTCGATAATGCATTTTCATGGGCTCTGTACGTCGTATGTTTTCCCTTTTTGTTTCAATATATAGGCACATTCAGATTTACCATTTTCATACAACCAAAATCCTTTTTCTGACAGAGCCTACAGCATAAAGTGCATAATAGACCTTCATGCCGCTCCAGGCTCACAAAATGGAATGGAACATAGTGCCAGTAGGGATGGTACAACAGGGTGGTCGTCTCCAGATTTCATCTTACAAACATTGGATGTCATTGAATTCCTCGCTTCCAGGTAAGCTCAGGCCACATACAGCTTCTTGTTTCCTCCTTCAGTTATCAATTGGTAGAATTAATTCACTTTGCAGTTCATAGTTGTTTTTAACAGAGTTGAAACCAAAACTAGAGTCTACATGTTATTGTTACTCGTACATCTTATGTCCTAATAGATTGATGATTGTACAAATTTAGTTCGGTCTTACTTCACCTCCCTCTCCATGGAATGCTTGCTTGTTCAAAATTGGTCCATGGAGCAAGTAAACTCTAGATTTCTGTTAAATATTTCTATTACAGAAGATTAAGAGCGTATGATTAGAGATAGACAGTAATTTTTTTCTCATGTCTCTAACTCTCTTCATTGGCCAACCACTTCCGTTCAACATGTAGAGCTTATTTCTGTCTGATGACAATTTGATGGTTGCGCAAATTTATACTTTGCTGTCTACCTCATCCATCTAGCTTTGTGTTTGTACATTTGATTTATTACTTTATCTAAAACAATACAAGGAAATAGTAAAGTAATTAACTTTGATGCCTGCAGATATGCCCAGCATCCTTCCTTGCTGGGAATTGAACTTCTAAATGAGCCATGGGCTGCCACAGTTCCATTGGATGTCCTTGTTTCATTTTACGAGCAGGGATATCAGATTGTTCGTAAATACTCGTCCAGTGCGTATGTGATATTCTGCCAGAGAATTGGAGATGCAGATCCATTTGAACTCTATCAAGCTAACTTAGGCTCAATAAACACAGTAGTTGATTTGCACTACTACAATATGTTTGACCCATCCTTTTCTAACATGAGTACACTGGCCAATATTGAATTCATATACAAGAGCAGAGAATCCCAAATACAAGCTCTAAACAGTGCCAATGGTCCACTTGTTTTTGTAGGTAAGCAACTATACCGGCTTGTCCACTTTTTTCTTTGGAATAGCCTATTGCAATTGGTCTAGACTCTCAATTTGTAGTACCTTATAAGAAATGAGTGTTTTAGCTTAGCAAGAGTTGATAACTTTATTAACTTGAACATTTTTTGAGTAGTTGTAACAAGAACCAGTATCAATCAGCTTAACTATTATAACTGAACCTTGTTAGGAGTTTAAGATGCAGAATCATGACACTCAGTAATAAACTGATTTTAGGTGAGTGGGTGAATGAGTGGAATCAGACCACTGGAACCCAAACAGATTATCAAAATTTTGGCACAGCCCAGTTAGAGGTGTATAATGCAGCTTCCTTTGGGTGGGCTTATTGGACACTCAAAAATGACAGGATGCACTGGGATTTTGAGTGGAACATCCGCAACAACTATCTTCAACTACAGCTGGGTAAGATCTCCACGTATTATTTATCTCTTCTAGGATTTGATCAAACTGCAACAATTTTATGAAATTTATTCATTAGTGTCTCAAAGTCACTACCATCTGACTCGGTTTCGGTATTGGGGATGCACATAGTACTAGGCATTGCCCGTTCCGTATTGAACAAATCCTTAAATGAGTGAAGTTGATGCTATCAAATGCGTCAGCTAAACTGGTTTTTCTATGTTCATTCAAATTGTCTGCCTACATCATAAAACATTACTTTTGCAGGTTGTACGTCAAGCAGGCAAATTTCAAACATAATCCTGTTGCTTGTATTGGTGTGCTGCTGCTTCTTTCAACATCATTTGTTGTGAGAGATGGTGTTAAAACTTCTGTTATGGCACAAAAATCAGTGACAAAATCTGAAAGTAGCTTATTCTTTGCCTGTTCTGCTCAGGCACAAGCATCACACTCTAATGTTTTTTTATTATTTGAAGGTGATGCTGGAAAAAGAATGTTCCAAAACCCCCATCAACAAGGGGAATAGTCTTGTTACAACATTGTAGCTAAATTTTGTAATACACTGGAATACAAAATGAAAATGCATGCTTTTAAGTTTCTTTCAACTATTTGTGATGTTAGAATACCGCCTGTTTGGCTGAATCTGCTGTCTAAAGCCACTTCTCGTACACCATAATATAAGCTCGCTTAACAATTTGTCCGAAAATAAAATATCCTAAAAAGAGAACAACTAGGAAGCCAAAGTATGATAGTGGTAGTGAAACCAGTCCAAGTACTGTTCCCAGAGGTGTGTAAGGAATTGCAATGCCTACTGCAGAAATCAGAACTGTGGAACATATAACAGGCCAGGAAGCCACCTCTTGGATGAACGGAATCTTGTCTGTCCGAATCAAGTGGATGATTAAGGTCTGCATTAGAAGTCCTTCAACGAACAAAGCAGAATGGATGAAATTGTTTGCTACAGATGATTTCTTCTTATAATAAAACCAAAGGAACAGGAGAGCTACTAAATCACATATAGAACAAACAGGACCATTCCACAATGTAAACATGGTTAAGCCTCTGAGAGACCATCTTTGTGGAATCTTGACATAATCGTCTTCTATATTGTCCCATGGGATTACAATTTGGCCCAAACTATATAAGAAGCTCTGCACAAGTAGTTGGTTTGGTGTCAATGGTTCAAACCCAAAAAATATGGTTGCAATGAGAATTGAAACAATACTTCCCAGATTGGCAATTACTGATATTCTGACGTACTTCATTGTGTTCCCAAATGTAAGCCGACCTTGCTCCACACCAGCCACCAGAACATTAAGATCCTTTTCAAGTAAGATAATATCAGAAGATTCCTTTGCAATTGATGCGCCTGAATCAACAGAGATACCGACGTTGGCGGCATCCAATGCAAGCGAGTCATTTACTCCATCTCCCAGGAACCCTACAATATGGTTGCCCCCTGTCTGCAAAGATTGCACCACTCGAAGTTTCTGAGTTGGGGTGAGCTTAGCCAAAACTGTTGCTCTTTTCACATTCTCATGGAAAGAGTCATTGTCAAGTAACTCAAGTTCAGGGCCTGTAGTAACATGAGTGGTTCTAATCCCAACTTCTTTGCAAACCCTTATTGCGAGGGATAGCGCATCCCCTGTTAATACCTTTGCTTTTACTCCCTTTTCAGCTAGGTTCCACAAAGCTTGCTTTGCTGAATCCTTTGGTGGGTCAAAAAAAGTTATGAGGCCTAAGAAAACCATGTCAGATTCGATGTGTTCATCATAAACCATGCTTCTGCTATCTGTTATCTGAAAGAAAGACAATAGCTGTTGGAAGTAGATACAAGGTTGACTAAAATATCAAACGTAATTCGTGCAGTTAATGCTTTATATATTTAAACCAAAACTTTGATCTTGCTTGTAGTTTTATGAGCGATATTAGACCAATATCTAGCATTTCACTGATTAGCATTATTTGGTACAAAACTGTAAGGTACAGTCATATATGCATGGTCTATTTTATTCAAACATCGTACCAAATGTTGCACACCAGAAACACAAACATTTAACTGTAATTGGATCCTATCTCCTGAACAGAGAGAGAGAGAGAGAGAGAGAAAGAGCTACTTTTGAACCAGAATAGTGGTCAACAAAATAGAATTTCACAAATGTGGATAAGTTTTCATGTCTGAATTTCCATATACTTGAGTAAAGAAGAGACTTTGTGCTGAAGGCAAGGCAAATTGCGTAAGAAACAACGCATGATCGAAGCTTGCGTGCTGTTCTTAGATTAAGTGAAGAAAAGTTAACTACTTTCCTCCATGCCAATGACAAATCAGTAAGAAGCAATAAAAAAATTGCATAAAAGTGTAAACTATCTATGAATGATAGACTGGGAAGAATCAGAGGAGTTTATCGAATGAAAACAAACAAGAAGCACAGATATCAGAACCAATGAAAAGAGTTATGCACACACCATCTGAAGCCTTTTGACTGCTACAGCCAGAAGCCTTAATCCTTGACTACTTAGTTCTTCTGCCATATTTAAGATCCTTTGATAGGCCTCAGTGGAGAATGCCAAAGTATCACCACTATCAACATGCTCGATAAAGGAACAAACTTTTATCACTTCCTCCAGTGCTCCTTTAGTTATCACAATTCTGTCAGTAAAGTAGTTGCTCACACAATTTTCAGTCATTCTTGTTTCCAAAATAACGGATATCCTTCTACGCGTAAAATCAAAAGGAATCTCATCTACCTTACTCCATTCAGATGGCTGAAACCTGAAACCACTTGTATATACATGTGCCATTATGGCATCATCCAAAGGATACCTCTGTTGTGTTTTGAAGAAAGCATTTAGGAAAGCAAGTCTTAGGACCTTCTCTTTTTGCAAGCCCCAGCTGTCAAAGTAATTGATCATGATTGCAGTATTCTTGGTAAGAGTACCAGTTTTGTCAATGCATATAATGTCCCTACAATAGAGAGTAAAGCAGTCAATAATAGAACAGCCATGTGTTTTCATACAATCATCTGCATCATAAAATTGATGTGGGCGACTTAAGATGTGGAGAAAGGTATAAACGTTACAGTCTGTTATGCAAAATGGAAGTCAACAGTAGTTGCGATAAACAACTCAACAAGTTCTGTGCTTATCAAGTCTGAGCACTGACATTTCACAGACAATGCTGAAGTAAATTCATCTTACATGGATCCCATGTCTCGTATAGCACTTAAGCTTTTGACTATGCATCTATCTCTGGCCATAGCAAGTGCACCTTTAGCAAGACTAGTGTTAATGATGAGCGGAAGCATCTGAGGAGTGAGTGCACTAGCAACTGACATACCAAACAGTATGCTCTCACTTGGTTCACCTGATGAATAACAATCAATGAGGATTATTATGCTGACCACTATAAGCATGAGGCTAATGAGTATATAGGAGATGTGTCGGATGCCTCTCTCAAAGCCGTCTGGTTGCTTCAGCTTCCCTGTAGTTGAAAAAATTGTGCTCATATAAGTCTTGGATCCAGTGGAGACAACCAGACCAGTTCCAATCCCTGATACTACAGTTGTTCCCTAAGACAAAAAGAGGAACCCATACTCTCCTCAGCTACTTTGTTAAGAACTGGCCACACAAGCAAAATAAATCTATATCAATTCTTTTGTTATTAGCTATCAACTAATACCACTGAAGGCACAATGAAGTAGAGAATTAACCACCCCTTTATAATGTTCTATGTTGCCACTCACCAGCTAGAGAAAAATGAAAAAATGCTTATATACTCCACCCATTTAAATCTGTTCCTCAAGAAGTAGACCCCGGTCCCGTGTCCAAAATAGCTTATATACTCCAACAACTATATGGCAACATACATACTATAACATCATGCAGACAATAGAGCAAGAAATATTGTGGACTAACCATGAAGCATATATTCTTTAAATCCAGCAACGGAGTGCTTGAATCTTCTCTGATATCAGCTGTTTTCTCTGTAGCTCCAAATTCTCCTGTCAGTGAGGACTGACTGTTTCATGAGGCAGTAAGTATCACGAGTTAAATGACGGAATTTACGCTACAAAATCTGCTGATTTCAGTCTCAATGATAAGGAGAACCTTTAGCCTATACCTCACTACCAGATTTTTTGAAGTTAGTAGCCTCACGTCACCAGGAAAGAGGTCCCCAGGTTCAAAAATGATAATATCACCTGGGACAACATTCTTTTGATCAACTTGAACAACTAATTCTGTCTGAACTGTTCTACCAGCGCACCTTTGAACTTTTACTGGGAAGCTTAGAAATTCAGACAACTTCATTGCCGCTTTTGAGCTACTGTATTCCTGACATTCACAAATACACACCTTCAGGTGTCATGTTTCGCATGTAAGAAAAATATGATAACTACGATAGAAAAATTGAACCAATAAACTAGACAATACCTGGTAAAATCGAAGGGAGACACTAATGAAGACTAGTACAAGCATGATGCATCCGTTTGGTTCGTCGCTAGTAATGTAAGATAAAACTGACAAAACAATGAGGATGATGTGGAATGGATGAAATAAGGCATTCCAAAGAAGATGCCACCATCTGGGGAATTTAGTGTGAATTGGAATGTTTGGCCCGGTTTCCTTCAGTCTCCTTTCAGCCTCCCTGAAGCTCAAACCTGCAGAGAAAATTTGTGAATTGAGTCTAAAAACTGATGACAACAAGCCATTTTCCAAGCAATGTGCAAAATCACTATTAGAATACTTTGTTATTCTTAAGGAATATCAGTAAACCATAGATGAAAATGAGCTGACAAACCTGAACCAATATGAGAATGGCTTATATGCTGCACCAAATGCTCCTTGACAAGCACTAGCATTCTACCAAATGTCTACCAGATATTGTATTTAAAATCCACAAAAAAAAAAAGAAATTGTAGCAAGGACATTTAATAAAGATCAGCTTAACTATCATTTTAAGGGGTTCATTGGAAAGGAAGTGGTTATTGTTAGAAATATTTCCCTTATTTGGGTTGGCACTAATTATTTATTTTGTCAAAATAAGTTAAATAAGACTGGTAAAACCTATTGCAAATTTGCAATATAATCTCTTGCTGTCTACACCTAGCTCTATTTCAGTCAAATTGTTTGAGTGTAGTATGTAAGCTGTAGGTAGGGCATGGGAGGATTCAAATCAGAAATTAGGGCTAGTATAGTTGAATTAGGGTTAATTTTCTATACACCAACTAACTAATAGTATAAATACTAGCACTAGTTGATGTATGCCATATATGTAAAATATATAAATATATATATATATATATAAATTCAAATTGGAATTAAGTGACATGCATTCAAGGGTGTTGAGGAATATATTGGCAGTGTAAATAAGATTAATCTTAATTATATCATCCCTCCCATCGTTATTGATATAATCAAAAGTAGGCAAATAAGTCCAACTTTAACTGCAAAAGGTTAAGGGATAATTTCAGAAGCCTCCCCTGAAGTTTGTAAAAATTATCACTTAACACCCTTGAACTTTGAAAAAAATCACTTGCCTCTCCTATTTTTAACTTTTCATAACATTATAAACCCATTTTATAATACATTATTAAGAAACTAATTTTTGGATAGAGAATATGTTTTCATTCCAATATTGCCCTTTTCTATGCACCTTCTTTTGTTTTCATAATTAGTCTTTTTAATCCCTTAAACTTTAGAAACTTGGCCGATATGATTTTGTAGTTAAAAATTATAGACTGTTAACAAGATTGAAAGATTTTTGAATACTTTTCATGTCATCAGTTGGCACAATAAATATGAAATTTAGAAATTCACAAACATTTTTTAGTAAAAGCATCTCAAATGAGATTTTAGTCATTGAAAGCATGTCAAATGAGTTTGTAAACATAATTTTAAACATGTTTTCTTTTCCAGTTTTCAGAAATTCTAACAATTTGAAAACTTCTCAAGTTGATTGCAAAACACTTTGTAGTAAATTAATAATATTATTTGGCTTGAAAATACCTTAAATATACTCTTAAAAATTAAATTATGCATACCTTAAAGTGCCTACTATAATATTGTACCCTACTAAAATTGTGCGTACATACTATTTGCTTATTGATTTCAAGCTTTTCTTAATATACTTTTAATTTTGGAAAAAGAGCAAGACAACAAAGGGCACATTTGAAAATGAAAATAATTTCTCTATCCAAAAATGAGTTTTTTTAAAAATAATATATCTTAAAATGATAATGTTATCAAAAGTCATAAGTAGGGGATGTAAGTGATATTTTTCAAAGTTCAAGAAAGCTAAGTGAAATCGTTGGAAATCTCGAGGGAGGTTTCTGAAATTACCCGAAAGATTAAATCAAAGAATATTCTAGCAAAAACAGAGCAAATTTGCAGAAAAGTCTAACCTCTTTCAGTTGATTGCACATATTCATAGACCAAATCCTTCCCAGATTGAGCCAATGCATATAGCCACGAGTATACCTTTGCTTCCTCTTCAGTCCTCGAACCCCCATCAATTGTCTCTGTTATAAAAAGTTTCAAGAAAAAACCCATCTCAAATGCAATCTAGAAAATCCAATAAACAACAAAAGATTCATATTTACAAATTTTAATTGCAGTGATTAATCAACTACGCTCTCTTGTTTACTAAGTTTTAGCAGAAGAAACTATCTTCAAATCCAACACAATAAATGGCAAAACAAAGAGGAATTTACAAGTACAGAGGGACGAATGCTTATTTACTTCCAAAGAAGCGCTGCCAAAGGCCCCAGAATGATTTTGTGAGACCATTTTTCGAAACATTATTGTTGCCAGTGACTAGATTTTGGCGAATTTCTTCTGTTGTCTGAGAAGGCAATCTTTTGTTGAAAATGTGGAGCATTTTGGTGTTTCCCACAGAATGAATGCTTTAGTTGAAAAACACAGAGTCAGCAGATATTTATGGTACATACAAATACTAAAACTAGGATAATTAGTTGGCTGTTACTAACTATGTTGTCGGGAGATTTTGAAAGTTTGAAGAGAAGGTGAAAGGGAACAAGATTAGTTAAATTTTGATGATGAAAAAGAAAGATAGATGTGATGAAGATGTTGGTTACCAACTACCAGCAGTGAGTTTCATAGGAACTCAGGAAGGGTAGGTTTGGCCGTTGGATGCCTTGTTGGAAGACTTTGGCGCTTCCCTACAACTGAGGAGATCGGGCATCTGCAATTCCCGTGGAAAAAAATTGCACCAATAGTCAGTAAAATAAGGGCGGATATAATACGTACAAAAAGATTGTGTGAAAACAACGATTTTGCATGTTATATAATACGATATTCAATGCAAAAAAACCTGTTTGGCAAAATTACGTGTATAAAAAAGTATGTGATTAGTAGGAATATATTTGAAAGTTATGAAACTAAAAAGAGGGGCTGCAAATTGCTATATTTTTCGAAGATTATGCTACATTCATACGGATTTTAACCCTTATTCTTATATATGAGACGTTATATGTCATTGTTATTTCGTATGTAATCAAGTCATATATATGTATTAGAGCCCAACAACATCCCATGTTCCTCAATTATCAGGGCTTGGCAATAATCACCAATCATTTTGTAAAAAGATGTTATAAATTCATATGGTTTAAAGGAATTATTGATCTATTGGTGGCTTAATTTCTTTGCGCTAGCCATGGATTCCCTTTACGAATTTATAAGAAAGACAAAATTCTACTTTAGACCTTTAAACTATAGAACTTTAGTTTTTAAACTTTATTTTTGGATATTTTATCTCCTAAAGAATGAAATTCATTAACTTTAGTCCTTAAGTTTTGAACATTTTACCCTTTAAAGTATAAAATCTGTCCCATGGAATTGGTAAAGCTAACAAAATGGTAGACAAGTGATGCTCAAAATTGAAGAACTAAAATGAGATGAACTTCAAATTTTATAGAGTAAAATATTCAAAAATAAAGTTTAAGGATTAAAGTATAAGTGCGTCCATTGTTTAAGCATCCAAAATAGAATTTAGCCAATTAGAAAACCGGTGTTAGTGCTCTAACCAACTCAGGACAAATACAGAATCAATCAGTCGTCAACAGGAAACTATCGTTGCACAGAAGGAAAAGGAAAAAAAAAAAAAAAAAGGACCTATAAAGAAAAGGCAACTCCAAAAAGATTAAATTTCATCGTCTTGTGCTTCTCTGGATTTTATTCTTCTCTACGCAATAGATATATGTTTATAATTTGATTAATTCTATATTTTTCTTCCTCTATCATCAATCAGTAAAGTAGTTATATTCTGTACGCTGCGTTTGGTTGTCAGAGGGAGGGAGACAAAATGAAGAGCCTTTAGAGACCTTAGAGAAATCCGAAAAGAGCAAGAGGACAAGATCAAAAGAGGCCGACCTTAAATGGAAGGACAAGATCAATAAAAATACAAATAGGGAGGAACTTCTAACGGCATATGCAAAAGACCTCACACACTAATATTATTTTATAACACTTTATACCAGTGGATCTCCAGAAATTTGGTTGCTTGCACACCTCAAACTAGTAGTACAGACAAGAAAGTAATGCTAAAAAACCACAACTAGGAGGCAAGACAATACAAACGAAGGAAGAAAAGAAAGAAATTAGCAAAAAAAAAAAGCTACAAAGTGGTGACACCACCACCAAGTACACTACTTAATTAAGAAGCAACATGCATGATGAATTGGATTTCCATCTCAATTCAGTGAGACCTAACGAAAAAGAAGATTAATTCCTGGCCAAGTTACCATCTGAACAGGATAGTGAACAGATATAATGGACAGAGGATCCTGTTTGACTAGGATAGGTCTCACTTTTCTAAATCATATGATTAGAACATGATTAGTTTGACTCGTCTCTGTAAAAATTATCCCGGTTGTCTCATGCTAGTTTCGGGCCAAAATGTTGTTGTGGAACTTGGGACTAAATTAGTGCGTTTAATTTACTTAGGAATGTGTTTTATTCATTCGTTCCTCATTCTCTCTAAAAATTTTTAAGCCAAAACCTCCTCCAACTCTCTCATGGGGAGATACCAGAAAATCTGAGCTCTCCCCATGGATGGGAGGGAGCCCGTCTCTATTTATATTTCATTTGTTTTAAATAAATTCTCTCCTAAAGTTAATTTAGTGAGAGATTCTTCTTTTTCATAGTTTCTGGCAAGAGAATCTTTTATCATAAATTTTTTAGTGGGAAATTTATTCTGTTCTAAGATTTTTTTGTAAGAGTATTTTTTGTCATTTTTCTTTGTGAAATCTGAGAGATGTTGTAGATCCAGTTTCTCAAATATGAAAATTTTCACGTCTATTATGTCAAATCTAAATTTGTCTTTGGATTTGAAGAAATTTTTATCATATTTGACTATTAGAAGATACACATAGATTTTTGGGATTGCACTAATATTCATTTGATAGAAGATACTTTTGAAGTTTTAATCTATATTATGTTTATTATTTTTTTAGATTTGTTGTGTCAATTGAAAGATCTATGTATATTTGTGTCATGTTTAATGTATTCTTTGTTACTAGTGAGATATTGAAATAAAATTATCTTTTTTTAATAAAAGAATTACTTAGGAATGTAAATAAATCATATTCTTTTTTTTGACGGAATGATAACATTCCTATAACCTAATACTAGTGCTCAATGCACACCCAATGTGTGTGCAATCAAAAAATATATAATATTTATGGTCATATATTTTAAATAAAATTTTTATTACTGAAGCAAACTTTAATCTTTTAAATATATTTCATAAAATAATTTTATATTAGCAGTTATAATATTTAGGGATAGTTATGTTGAAAACATATACCTAAATAGTTAAAGGTAGTCATAAGTAGTTATAGGTAGTTAAAGTAATAGTAGTTTTTATGAGGGCAAAATATAAAGTTTATGAAGTGACGATAAACGTTAACTCCAAACCTCTTTCTCAAGCTTTATATATAATATAGACTAGTGGGTGAGGTACACATTATGAGTGTGCATATTTTGGAAAAATAATTAATACAAATATATAGATAAAAAAAATAGTTGGAGAGTTTCTTAGGAGGTGATGCAATGTTGATTAGTGAATTACTTAATCAGTTAATTGGAGAGTGTAGTGATAATTATGTAGTGGTAATTATGTAGAAGTGGAAGGTTTTCTAGATAAGGTATGGATAGATAATGGTAAATGTTGAAAAGGTATTTTTGAAAGGGTAAATGTTAATACTTTTTATTAACACCTACTTACGTAATATACTAAGATATAAACTAGTAGGTGAGGCACATACTATGTGTGCATATTTGAGAAAAAAAATAAAAATATATAGATAAAAAATAGTTAGAGAGTTTTTTAGGAGGTAGTGCATGTTGATTAGTGGATTAGTTAATCAATTAATCGGAAAGTGTAGTGAAAGGCTAGTAGGTACACAGACCGGATTAGACCAAAAGGGTGATCTAACACCTCTTTTGGTATGAACCCCGACCTACAGGCTAAAAAGGGAGTTAATCCCTTTTAGGTAACCACTGAACCAAAGTTCGATGGCTGTAAATAAATTATATTCAAAATGGAAAAAAGTCAGAACACAAAATGTGGGACTATATAAGTGTGTCCATGTGTGTATGTATGTATGTGTATGTGTGTGTGGTGTATATTGTGCATTTTTGCCTTGGGGATTTTCTCATAAAGTCTTGTCTACTTTGGGCTAAAATACACAGACATGCTTCCAGAAGGTTTTGACGCACGTTCCTTTCTATAATTTGTATTAGGACAATCGTCTGTAACCTGTGGTTTCACTCTTTGGACGGCTGGGAAAGGATTTCTATCCACAAACAAACAGAAGCGACAAGTAAGATATATATGAACATATGCATGGCTTTTTATCCTGGCTTCTCCACTGATGTCGTCTAGCTTTTTATTGACATTTACTTTTGAGGGACAGGACAAGGGGAGAAATTATGGCATCTGCACAGAAACTGATCAACTTTTTAAAATCCACAGCAGGTATAAAATGTTACCAATTCAGGTCTAGTTGCTATGAATATCCATGAAAAATAATCTATCTCATTAAATTGCTAAAAATGTTTAACTCAAATTGACTACAAACGTTTCTTTGATAGGAATGAAAAAAAATTGATTTCTCCTGATAGATTGGATATTATTTGACTCACATGTGAGTACGACATGTAACATTTTTATTTCACGAATGACCATTCAAACGTAAACCTTGAATCCTCTCAAATGATAGATATAGACCTTCAATACCAAAATTGAGGGAATTTATCCACTAGATGAGCTATGCCGTTCACAAACATTTATATCTGACAGTAATACCTTGCACATGCTTTGGTCACTTGAAAGATATAGCTATGAAATGGCATGCATTGCTCAAGAATAATACCCAGAAATTTGGCAGTTTTCTCCTCGCACTGTTTTCTCTCGTATGTGATGGTCATTTAAACTGCCACAGATGTGGAGACGAGACTTGGTGTAACATCTCAATGTTTGGGTCCCTGCATCTTGCAATTGCCTAGTGTCACGACTGTCAGGTTTGTTTGCTCAACTGGGGCCGATCAATTATTTATTAACCATTCTTGGTGATATGCTTTCATGTAGACCACAAAATTCAGGAGAGATTCAGGTTGCTAATCTACCTATATAGTAAAAGCATGAATGAGTTTGTTAAGATGGATGGTTGTTGTGCTGACGTGGCTGAATGGGATTGGTTCAAGCATGGTTGTCTGTCACAAGGATCTCACGTGCTGAAGCTGAAGGGAAGACTTGGCTTCATTTTCTTGTTTTTCTTTTCTCTTGCTTTGAAACAAATTATTGCTTTCTTTTACACGGAGGGTTGTTTCTTTTAGCCACTGTGAGAAACCCATTTGAAAGCCACCTGGTCCGTGTCTGCTGTGTTGTCACAGTGATTAGTTTGATTTATGACATGCGGTGGTGTTGGGCTCAATACTAATTTGTTGGTTTTACAATTCTGACCCTGCTCTTGTATCCAAAATTACCAGTGCTGTTGTGAAGCCTTTCCTGTTCCCATGGGCTTTGACTGAAAATAAATTGCTTCTACCGTCACTGCTGCAATTTGCCAAATAACAGCTTTTGCCTCTTTTCTTGACGGGTGAAAAGACTGATGCAATTTCTCTGCGCAATTTGCACATCGGCCATCTATTCTTTTCCAGATTTTGGGGATATCATCATCATCGACAGTGATAATAGTGCTTTTCTTCCGTTTTCCTTTGTTGCTCTACTGCCGTTTCTTGCACTCTGGTTGGCTTAGCTCCTTGCTTTCTATTTTCTAAATTCAAACTGTTTCTTGCTTGCTCTTTGCGTAAAATTTACATTGTGCTGCTGCATTTTTCTATGTTTTTTTTATGAGATTTATTTTTTTGGTTGAACGTTATTTCTCTCTTCTTTCTGAAAGATAAATAGGATCTTTTCCATTTTCATCTTCTTCATTTGAATAGTTGAATTTTTTGCTCGGTAAGTATCTTAACTTTCCTTTTCTACTGCAAGAAATGAGGCAAAAAAAAAAACAAGGAAGCCACGTGGAAACAAGAAGCAACAAGGAAAAAATGGATCTTCAGCATCTTCATCAGAACATGTAATTTTTTTGCTAAGTAAGTATTTTTTCCTTTTTTTTGGGTGAAATTTATATTCATCTTCGGTTTTTTGCTCCGTAAGTATTGATACTTATTTTTACTGCAAGAAATTAGACAAAAAAAAAAAAAAGAAAGCCGCATGGAAAGAAGCAAACAAGGGAAAGACTGGATCTCAGCATGTTTATTAGAACAAGTGATATTTTAGCTCAGTAAGTATTTTAACTTTTTTTTGTGAAATTTAAAAAAAATCACATGTTCTAAGCAAAAGAAATCCAATCTCTTAAAATTTTTGAGTTTTTTGTTTATTTTTATGTATATTGTTCGTTTTTTCCCTTGTTTCGATCCCATCAGAGAGATTAAGAAAGCAAATAAGGATGGATTTCGATATGGAGGCCTGTGTTGACAAGATCAAGCAGGAATATCTATTTATTTTTATGTATATTTGTTAGTGTTTTTCTTCCTTTATCGGATCATATGAGAGAGATTAAGAAAGCAGATAAGGATATGTTTGGATATAGAGGTTGTGTCATTCATCTACCCACAAGATTCAAATGAGACTTCATTTTCTCATCCACCAATGCACTTACTTCTCGTACCTCCCTCTCAAACTCTCTTTTTAACATGTCTCTATAGCCGCATAAGGAAAAAATCCATTGATCACACATCGAGATACCCTAACATGCTCAATTGTTAATCTTACATTTTATTTTTTTTACCTATTTCATATCTCATCATTTGCTCAATTGTTTTGTGGTTTTTTTTTTATTTAGGTTGGAGAAATCATCAAAAGGTAAGCTTTTTGTGCCCGAATTTCTTATTTTCTTGCTTTATGTTTTATCTTTTCCCCCCCTAATTTCTTCGCTTAAAGTCTCTTAGATCATTATTGGGTTGCTGCACTATTCTAATGATAGAATGAAGTTTGAAAGGCATTTCTACATTTAAAACAATGGTATTTTTTCAGCCTCTTAGATCATTATTGGGTTTCTGCACTATTCTAATCATAGAATGAAGTTTGAAAGCCATTTCTACATTTAAAACAGTAGTATTTCTTCGGCCAAAAATAACAAAAGATGCAGATATTTAACTGCTGACCTCATGTTTTCTTAATCGCTGACCTCATGTTTTCTTAACAAAAGACAAGCTTCATGTTATCTTAGTGTTTCTGTCGCATTTTTAGAAAAGTTTCTTTTTTTTTAATGATTCTACTATATTTGCTAGCTTGGTTAGGGATGATGTGTAATTATCATATCAGATTGTTTGGAAAGTTTGTTATGTTGTTATAAGGAGTACAAAGACTTTACAAAAATGGTAATTTATTCTTTATAATTTCCCCTTCTGGTTTCTTGTGTATTAGTAGAAATCTTATGTGATTTTATGTGTCCTTTCATAGGGTGCATTGTGTTGTTGTCCGCTTGCTTAGGGTGGTTCAAAATTTTTTCATGTGTTCACCTATGGTGCAACAAAAGTAACTTTAAAAGTTTCTAAGTTTTAACTGTTTGCTATTTTAAGTTTTAGGTTTTTTGTTATCTATTTAAATTACAAACTATTTTTTTCTTCTTTTTGTTATAGGCGTCTTTATTTTCTACTGAATTTTAAATGTTTGTTATAGGTTGAGCTATTAAAATTTGCAGTATGGTACAAAAGGATTGGGGAAATTGTTTTCTCAAGGCGAGTTTTATTTGGGTGTTTTTCTTGAACCAAAAAAAAAGGGAAATGGTTTGTTTAGTGCATCTAAGGTTTTGTCTTCCTTTTTTTTTCCTTCTATTAACAGATTTTTTCACTTGCACATTACTATAAGTTTTTGCTGTCTTTATGCTATTATTGGTCATTAGAAAGGTGCAGGATGAAAATTAATAATAATGAACTATTTTGTCACTTTGTATGCTGTCAAAAGAGGCAACCAAAATTTTAATGATGTTTGCTTGCTGTTAGAATATAACATCAGTGTATTGTTTTGTCATATTGTATGCTGCCACAACATAGAACAAGGAAATGATAGCAGTAAATTCGGACTTTGGTAATAAGCCTAACATAGAAACAACATTTTTAAAGTGTGATCGCTTGCTATTCTATTTATTAATTTCTAATATTTTGTGAAGATTGACAACAGCCAACTGTAACCATTTGCACCTTTTTTTCCCTGCGTACTTTAACATTTTAAATTGAACATGTTAATAGTATCAAACATAATTTTTCCCTCATTCATTTTAGATCTTAGCCTCTCAACTCAGTCATTATTAGTGATTCTTATAATTCCATGTTTTCGAGAAGTTGTGAATCTATATGATTGTTATAAATTTTTAAATTGTCCTATGCACTGATCTTATGATCATTATTTATTATTATTTTTTATTTCAAATCAGGTTTCAAAAGAGTGGAAACCAATTACTGCAAATGGATAATGAAAGCAGCTATGCTAATCGGCAAGTACTCCTTCCACCGGTCAGTAATAGCCAATTGTAAGGCTCTTTAATCCTTTCATCATTAAAGGTATGCAGATTACACATAGCTACTGCATTACAGTTTGTAAGACTCATTAATCCTTTCATCATTAAAGCTACTTTCTCTATGTATACTCTGCATATGTTTTCATTCTGCTTCTTTCTTTTTTCTGTTTAATGAAAAACTGGCACAGCATGGATCACAACTTGTGTTGGAATGAGTTTTAAGGATGACGAGATTTCTATTTGGCTTGTCCAAACTATGAACGCCCAAATAACTTTCAATACACATGGAAAGTTTTATTCTGATATTGTCACTCTGTTGTTCACCATTTACCTAGGTACATATGCAGATATTGACATTTCATCTATTTTCATAGACCTTTTCTTACCTTTTTTTTTAATTATTGTATAAATTTTAAATCATGGTTCTTTACTGAATATTTTCAACAACTTGCAAATAATTGTCGTTTGCTTGTGTTGCTCTGTTATTTGTATGCATGTTCAGTTACATTCAACTTAAAAAAGGAATCAGACAGAACCACTATATGCCTTATATTTTGATCCATGTTTAGTTCTCATAACCTCCTCTTCTTATTATTATCATTTTTGAGCTCTTTGGCCAAAAAAATTTCCTAATCATCGACCACCTGTGCCTTCCATGCATGAGTAACTACTTGCACTATTTGTTTATGGTTGTTCAATGGCACTTTTCATACTAGAATATAGATGTTTGTTATCCAGAAAAGTAATGATGTTATTAAGAGTTTTTTTTCTTTTTTTTTTTATAATACTGCATGTTATAATAATCTTCTCTGTAGTCTGAAGGAATTATGTCATTGCATGTGTTAGAGTTTGCTAGGTTTTTACAAGCAGAAGACTCAAAATTTTACATAAATTTAATTGTAGTACTTGTTACTCACATAGAATGGTAATTTTTGCCATACTATAAAAAGTACTGTTCTAAGAGTGTGTGACCTTTTTAGAAAGTTGGAAAGAGAGAACTGCAATTGGAGTTTTGGTGTTTAAATTCGATTTAAATATGAATTGCAAACTACTTTCACTGCTAAAAACTAACTCTTGTTTGTGTGCAGCTTCTCTCTCTAGGACCGATAGTCCATCACAGAAGAGTGAAAAGCTTTACCTTCTAGCTGTTGGTTGTTATTGAAGTGGTAAGTATTTAAGGAGCCTGCAGCTTGTATAGACATGTTTGGAGGTTAGTTCTCTGCTCCCATTAATGAAATTGCTCATAGTTTAACATGCTTACCAATATTACTTGTCAAAAGAAAGAAACTATAGAACATTTTGGTTGTATTCAAGAGTGGTGCTTTTATCCCATTGGTTTTGCTTTTGTTTGCTAGATTAAACCTGATTGGAGGCGGGCTTCGTACCTTGAGAAGACAATAAAAGAACAAATTACAGAAGGTGATAACCATATTGCTTTGAATCCTCGGGATTTTTTTGTTTGGGTATGGCAATGCATGAAATAAATGTTTAACTTATGGTGCAGATGGCGTCATTGGAATTGGCATTTCAGTTACTACTGTGGTACTTATAGCTGGTGGAATTATAACTGCATTAGCTAGAAGAAAATCATGATGACGGATTGTTATTTTAAGAGTAATTTCCCTGATTTGCGGTTTCCAATCTTGGAAGATGATGCATTTTAACCCTATTAACTATGAACTGATGTCCTTTCTGTTACTTTTAGTTCAAGTCAAGACTGTAAATATATATTTCAATGGATTTCATATAGCACCTCCGGAAACAAAGCATATTATCTCAATTAAGATGTGTGGGCATTCTGGGCAAGCTGTAGAGTCGCACCGCGCATCGCGCGGTGTTCACCTCCTAGTTTGTTATGAAGCACCATCGAGACTTCTATTGGGAAACCAACTGTTGGAGATTTTAATAAAATAGTTATATTCTCGATTAAATGTGTAAGTTATAAGGAGAATAAATTGGTAAATGTTTTTGAAATGTATTGGTCTTTGAATGTTTTTGACGAAAGACTTATTATATGAAATTATGGCTTTTCAATTACAATAAGTTTTTGTAATTGAAAACACATTATAATGTTTTTGTAAACTTACAATACAAATTTCAATGTGTTTTGACTGGCTAATAATTTCAGCATTTACTTAGTGTCTTATTAGTAGTATAGGTTATGTTTGTCTAATTTTTCTTCATCTATAAATATGTATAGTTAAGATGGAAAAATACTACTACTACAACTTATATCTTGTGAGTTTAAATTCACTATTTTCTATCTCATAGTTAGGTAAGAAAAAAAGTGTTTGTAGAGCTATACTCTCTTAGTTGTGCAGTCTAGAGAAAATGTCAACAAGTGTGACTGGGCTGTTATATCCTGGGGGTGACAAGTTGGAGATTCTACTGCACCGGAATTGATTCTTCCGCAGAGGTTTGAATCACCTTAAAGAAAGCGAGATATCCGTGTCTCAACCCTCCACATTTGTGCATTATTATATTATTATTTTAACTATTTTATTATAGTTAATTTTATTATTGTTATAATAATAATTATTATTATTGTTGTTAATATTTCTATTTAACATTTGTATTTTTATTCTAGCGGAACAACGCCAACTAATTTTTCAACAATTCTTTTTTATCTTTTATATCCATTAAATATTGTTTACTTTTCACCTTCCATTCGAAGAGAAGTAACAAATTCAAGCAAAGACCAACCAATACAATTGGAATTGAGTTCAAATACAACTCCCCAAATACGATTATCATTAGTCAACTTAGTGTAATCACCATCTCAATAGGGGAAAGGACTTAGTGCAGTCAAGGTTACCTCTGCAATTCGACCCGATTGTTATACTTTTTGTATTACTTAATGTACAATTACATTGCATTGTTGTATTCAGAGTAAAGGTGATGTACAAGAATAAAATGCTTGACATAAATTCAATACAACATTTTCATGTATTTATATATCAAAAAATTTGAATATGTATAATAATTAGACGGCATCACACAAAATATAACTGTACTGAATCCTTGTCCATCTCAAAGCACAAGAATTGCAACCATCATACCACATATCATACCTCATAGACAGACTGGTGATTGATCATAATTTCTAAAATAGAGTTTGACAACTTAGACAAAGGGGCAAACAAACTGCTTCCAATCCTCAGCCCCTGTGGAGACCCTATCAAGTCTCATTTTAAAAACTTGGCGTAGGTAACAACGGATCATGTGAAGTCACTTACTAACTCGAGACGTATTCCTACTCAATACAACTTGTCTAGGCTATTTTGACTTCCCAACCAATCATACGATCACTACACATCAATTAAAAAAAATATAAAACTAAAAACTTCACCTGGCAGCCTAAAACCTGGTTCCAAACTTCTAATAACCCTAAATCTTTTCTTTTCCATTAACCTATTATAATACAATTGGCATTTAGTAGTTTGTTTAGAGGGCAAAATACAATTGACTTCGTGTGATTTGTTACATGTGTCATTTTTTTGGGGTGGAACTTAGTGAGGGATTCCGTAAGGGACTTAAGGATCGGAAACACAAACAAACACATCGAAATACTGATAAATAAACAACAATTCATGCCACATAAAAACTTGTGGGGCGGCTTTTCCTGTTATTTAACAATCCCTCCAACTTTGTGTGTGGGATATTTTGGATAGGTGAGGGTGGGTGTTTCTGTGAAAGATTGAGAGGGAGGATTTTAGCTGATTATGGGGGCAGAGTGCGGAGAAGGTTAGTCACTTGGCAACCGTGAGACTCATTTGGCATTGAAATTCCCAACCAACCCTAGCAAACAAGGACTATTTTGGATCAGCCTGAATTTGACCTGTTTGATCCTAAGAAAAAGAGACCTAGCTTCATATAATGTTAGGTTGGGTTGAGCTTGAACTTTAATATGAAGTACAATTTTATTGCGTATTGAGTTTGGGCGTCTGTAGTTCATAGAATAAAGCTCCGATGTAATTATAATTATACATAAGGCAGATATTTCTATGTACCGAGAATGGATTGAATTCGGGCTGTAAGATGATTTCTGTATGAGTTGAGTATGGACTTATTAAAATTCGACTCACAAAATGAGTGTATAAACACTCACATTAATTTTAAGGGAAAAATATTACTTAAAAGCCAATTTTGGCACATTAAACAAAATTTCCTTGTCAATCAAACGAAACAATACCCGACAGAAAGACAATTCTGTCCCAAGAAGCTCAGAAAATCATGTGTCTATGTCCCCTAGGAAATGCTTAACCATGAATTGTCATGGTCGTGGGCTTTATAATTTTGTTGCCGTGGATTTGTTAATATCGATAAAAGATGATCTGGGATTGGAGATGACATCTGGGCTCTTTTGGATGGTGCTAACTGCAATGGTATCCGTAATAGAGAACTTTCTTGTTGGATAGTTGTCAATTTGAAATAGACGTGTACAAAATGATAGATGTTCGCTGAAGTGGAAACTTTCCACATCAATGAGTGATTGCTGCATAGTACTTAACTGGCAAGTTTTACTATATATTCATTGAACAATGTATGGATTATCACGTACAGGTTGCTCAATAATTAATAAAAGCTTATCAACTAGATGATTAATTGATTAGTGGGCAAAGTGATGCAAAGGCAAAGTTTGATTTTTATGCACCACCCTTCTTATCCAACAAAAAGAAAAATGAATAATACGCCCCTTATTCTACTCTATCCTTCCACTTTTGGGAACTTGATATCATGATAGTTGCATTGTTTGGGCTTACAAGACTAATCTTTTTCTTTCAGTATGACATGTTCTTAATGGGCAAAAAGCTTTCACAAGTGAGGTGGATACCCATACAATCTGTCAAAGAAACAGAAATTATGAACTCGACTCAAACATAAGCAGCAATATTGACAATGCATGTCAAATCATGGAATTAGAAAAATCCAATTCTGTACAAAGATTTAGAGCTTTGTGTTGCTTAAGTCCCTTCTTGCCCAACCAGCCACAATATCCAGAATCCCAGATATCTTTCACTATCTGTTTCATCAGTGTACTCCACAAACATTTCTCCACGCGTGATAAACTATTGCTGCAAAGGCAAGTCTTCTAATAGCACATTAGCACCAACAAAGGAGTGCTGAGAACCAATGCATGTTGAACCATCCATTGCAGCTTAGAATCCCAATGTCCAACTACACGATAGATCAATCACAACTTCCGCACTGATTACCATACGTAAGCAAGAAAAGGCCAACCAAAAACTACAAAAAAAAGAAAGAAAAGAAAAAGAACGTGTGATATAGATTCAGAAGCTAGCTGCTGCACGCATGAAGGATCCACACTCGAACCCCAAGCTAACAACCTATCTTTAGTTGCTAGCCTCCCACCACACGCCAGCCACGGGTTTAATGCATCCCTCAACACATGTACTTTGAACCATGCAACATTGGCCTGGTCTGGAACATGATGGCCATTGCAGGCTTAGCAGCGAAAACGCCTGTTTTGCTTGGAACCTAATGTAAATTGTCTTCCTCATTCAGCCTAGGCAAGATACACGGCCTTTAATATTGTTCCTTGGATCAATTGTTACAGGGCCTTTAATCTGATATATCTCTGTCAGATGTCATTTATAGAAACAGTCCATAGTCAATTTCTACAGATAACTATCTGATTGGTTAAAGTTCTTCCATCTTGACACGTCTTTGTCATGGTCAAACTTTTGAACTTGTTAATGTTGTCATAGCCAAGGACGGATCCGGGAGCAGCCGCCCCAAAATTTTTTAAAAATCTTTAATTTGTACCTATGTTTTGAAAGTCATACCCAGTGGTGGCTCAGCTGAACTCAAGAATCAAAAGTTAATGGATTCAATCAGGATCGGATTGGCCTAAGAACCGGGTGCTATCATAGTATTGTCATAAATATATTAATTAAAAATTAAATAGATCATACACACAAATATGTGTAAGTGTATTATTAATATGAATAAAAATGTTCCTTTATCTCTCTATTTGTATTTTGATACATCCTAAATTTTAACATCCTCGAATCCTAACTCTAATTGAATGTTTTTAAGCTTTACATGTAAATTGAGGTGCCTAAGACTCATTTATGAGACTTATTTGAACAAAAAAAGAAATTTATGGAAGCATTTACGGTTTTGCAAAACTTTAGAGGTCAAAGCAGAATAATAGAAAAGTTGCAGACCAATGTCTAATTCTTTGCTTCTTTCTTATAACTAGTTTGGGAGTTTAGAGTAGAAAATAAAAGAAGAGAAAGGAGAAGTTAGAAAAGAAAATAAGGATGGGAAAGGATCCAAGTTTCTATCTAAATTATTTGGGAGTTTTAAGAAACAAAAGAAGGTAAGTGATTTTCTTTTGTTTGGGAGTTAAAAACAAATGAAATTACTTTACAAGTTTGTCTTTTCTGTAAACAAATATGAATTAAGTAAGGGGGGTTTTATAAAAATGTGAATAATTAAACAAATCAAATAAAAAGGCCTAACTGATAATTTAACTAAAAATGAAACAATAATAAATAAACTCTAGCCAAAAAATAACTTTGGGAATGATTCACTCAATTGATCATGGATGGAATAATAATTTCATTCACTCGCTGATAAACAAATTATAACTACCAAACACGTGATGATAATCAACTTCTCCTTACTGTATGTATCGGTGATCAAGATACGACCGTTAATTACTTTCCTAATCAAGAAATAATCTTAGATATGATCTTAGAGTTTGATTTTTCAATTGCCTGAAGAATTTGAGAAACCCTGTTCTAACCAAATAACACGTTACGAGAGTTATTATAAGTTAACACATATGTTCCCCTGACACAAATTCAATCATGCCAGCCACTACTAATTTAAAGTAATTAAACTAATTTAAAGTAA